AGAAGCTCCACTAACTGGGCCACTGGAGTATTATAATATTATCAAATACGCAGCAATGAAGTACCAAGGGCCCACCCACAACCGTAGGGGTAGCCAATGGAAACCTTCCACCCCGAAATTTAGGACGGAAGGATGAGTTAACTTCCCTCTTTCGTCAACCGCAGATTCAGCGAGTTAAATATATAAAATTACTGAATTCGGGAGACAAGGAATCTGATCTAAACGTAATAACCAGTTGTCAACCGGAGGCCCTATTCAATATGTGTGCCACGAGATGGGGGATGGCGACATTTATCTGCATTTTTATTGCAAGTAAGTCTCATTGCTCGTATAAGCCATGCTGTTAAACAATAGAGTTGATAAAAGTGTTGCTGTGTGATCTCAAAGTACGGTCTCCAGTGTACCCCAGCAAGCCCTAGGGTAGTATAGGGTAGCAATGACGTAGAGAGTGACAGGCAATGAAGGGAAATTAGAAAGAGAGTAGCGAGAAGGTGTTATGTAAACAGGCCAAAGGCGCCCTTGTAATGTAAATATCAATGTAAATAGACCAGTGTACATAGGATAGGATGTACGCAGGGAGTTTTGATTCACCCTTCATAACCATCCCGTCCACGACCGATCCCGAGCGACCACAACCAAGACAGCCGACGGCAGCCGAGTGCAGCGAAGATTTTAGCTAAATGGGTAGCGACAGACTAAAGTAATCATATTTTCTCACCCCCTCCCCCAGAGGTGTAACAGAGATGTTGAGGATCCCACATTTTCTAGACAATCGGCTCATAGATGGCGGTAAAGTTGTAAGTCCTACGTCACGGCCGCCCTTTAACCCCAAGAATATTCCAGTAACATTCCAGGTACTTATTTCTGTTAGAGGCTGTGTAGACCCCAGGGCCATAGTGCGGCATGTAGGATTAGGTCAATTGAAAAAATCCAATTACATCATCGGGACTTGAACCCGCGACCTGCCGGCTTGTAGCATAGTGCCTCAACCAACTTCATACATGCGACAGTATTAATTGGATCAAAATAGCTGTATCTTATGACTTCATTAATTTGAAGTGTTAATAAAACGTACAAGATTGATAATAATTTCATGAAAATTACTTATTGGTTTCACTTCAACCCACCACAGTAGCCGCGCCCGCTCAAACATTAAGGGTTCGAATTCCAGTCGAGGCGAGAATGTCTGTCTGCGTTTATTGCGTTTGTGTGGTCTTGTGTAGACAGCGGCCTTGCGGCAGAGTTGGTCTTCCGTCCAAGGAGTCCTGCTGAGTGTCTATAAGTTTCACATTTCAGAATTAATTAATTCTAAGGTGGCACAGTCCAGAAAGCCTAATCCGTCTATGCAGTAAAAGAGATTTCTTTCATAAATGAGATATACTTTATTACAAAGATAAAAACAACACAGTCCAGTGTGACTATTTAAGTTTTATAACTTTTATCACTACTTTGTAATTGTTAGTGTGACGGTCCAGAATGAAACAAATAAAAAAAATATCATTATCAGTAATCTGTCAGACGACAGGTCCACAGTCTCTTCCAAAACAATTCCTCCACATAATGCGATCTAGAGCTTTCTCCTTCGGCAGTATCGCAATTACATCCCCTGCTCTCGGCGACTGCTAGACTTCTGCTGCACTCGGCGACTTCACGATCCGCCCTGTGTCACTCCTGATCACACACTCTCACATACTGTTCAGTCGGCTTTTTATACCCTTCCCTGTTGCCACGTGTTACAGCGGTGTACCCTGATACGTCACCGCGGGGGAGGGAGTGGAGTGTTTGAGGAGCCCCTCCCCTCTTAACCTAACTAGAACAGGGTGACGCTGCTTTCGTCCCTGGTTCCTTTACGCCTTTATCCCCAAGATAGAGTGGGGTGTCCAAGCTATAGGTTTTGACCGACGATAACCAGAAAAATCACCAGATAAAAACAATAGTAAATATTTAATATAACTCAGGTGGCACAAAATCATAATGAACGCTCCGTCTAGTATCAAAGTTAGCAGAATATTTTAAAACTTGGTTTGAACTGACGGAAAATTTTAGGCGTGGAGAATTGGCATATTTCATTTGCAATTTTCCGCTTCGTTTCAGTGTCTTATTGGTAGACTTGTATTTCAACTCCTGTGATGACATGGCCCAAAATATCATCTTGCATCTCCATAAGGTCTTGGAAAATTTCGACTCTTCTTTACTTTTGTTCTTCAGTGAGCTGTTTCGGGCCATTTTTACAAAGAGCTTACCCATGTCAAGATCTTCAGTTACGATTTTCCTGTTTCTCCATCGATGTTCCTTGCGATGTTATTCTCCTGACAGTCAGCCGACGATTTTTAGGCGCAATTTGATGAAATTTTAGTCCTCTGCTGAACGGGAACTACACGGTAGCTAGTTCGCGGACTTTATTGTCAGACCTCGTAACCTGCATTCCTTTCCTCTACCCCCAAAGGTGTCTTTGTTGTTTGTATAATTTAAGTTGGCCTAACTATTTCAAGATCGTTATCTTCAGTTACAATTACGTTTTTATAAACGCCATACCAGTACGAGCTATCTCTAATTCAAACCGTCTAATTGTTCAGCTTAAACAACGAAAAGCAAGTAAGGACGCGTCTTACCTGAAGTGGGATTACGCTTTAATGTGTCGCGGATTAGTGACTAGAAACAATTCGGTTCAATAATTGAATTTATTGGATCCTTAGTTCTCGAAACTAAAAATAACTTTAGCACATTCACTAGTCTGCACAAACTAGAAATACTCACAATAAATTTGAAGTCTTTAGAGCCTGCTGTGTTTTCATGAACTCGTTGTTCGGAAACGGCTTCACATAACTAGAATTCTCTTTCCTGCTTCGGTGCTCTATGGCTGCATCAAGGTAAATTTGTCTGGTATATTTCTGTAGGTCTTCGTTAGCATAGTCAGTTTTCGTTCCGGGTTCCGCGGGTCTCATGCTATATTTTCTGTTTCGCAGCTCTGAATGAGTCGTGATATTATCTCCATATTTCTTTCAGTTTTGAAGAAAGTACTAAGCCGCTGCTGGCCTTCGCGAGCACAGATTTCTTGACTTCGGATAACATCGGGATAGCTGACCAAATTCCAGCTGTTGTGTTCGCATTCGTTGCCTCTGAAAAATGTGATGACAACCCGTTGCCTAGCAGTGGACGTCTCTGCGGCTTCCCTCTGATCCCAAGATTCCGACATTACGCACCATAACACATTGTCCTATTTTCCGGAACTAGCTATTTGTTAAGTCGTCAGCCTGTCCAGATATACTAACAAATTTTTGTGTCATTGTGGATTACGTGCGTAATTCTATTTGCTTACGCCGAATTTTCTTATTCAGAAAATATGGGACAGTATTTTTAGGTGCAATCGATATATTGGCTTTGTTCTCAGCAGCTCTCCGGACGTCCCTCGGTGTTTTGTTTGCTTATTACAACCACCAAATAGGGTAGAAATTTTAGTATCTGGGTTTGGGGCTTATTTAGTTGGTTTGTTTCGTTTCGTTTCTTGTTTTTGTTTTTGTTTTCTCCAGCTCTTCCACTCCTCTGTCTATTTCAGTTTTCATGGCCAAAAATATCCTGGCGCTTCCCCCTTAATCGATCCCTGGTCTTACGAATGTAATCACTTGCGTTAGGCAAACCCATGACAACACAGGCCGACAGAGCTATTCTGCATGCAATCATATTACTCGCTTCAAACCATTCATTAGATTTTTCGTCATAATATTCTACTTCAGGTCTGGTGGTGGCTCGGTTGAAACCGCCGATAGCGAAGATCTTGTCGTCGACCACTTCAATACCGAATTTACTGCGGGATCTACGCATATGAGGGATAAGCTTCCATGTCCCCGTTGTGGGATTGTACTTCTCGCCACTAGACATGCGAGTCCTACCGTCCAGCCCTCCTATGGCGTACACGTGCCCATGGTAGCCGACGCAGGAAAGGCCGCTACGTCTAAAATTCATGGCCGGAATAAGGGTCCATTGGTTGGCCTTTGGGTCGTATACCTCTGCTGAGTTCATACAATCCCCATTGTTCAATCCACCAACGAGGTAGATCTTACCGTTCAGCGTGGCTGCACTGGCATCGAAGCGCCGTACATTCATGGGCGCTATGAAGGACCACTGGTTCTTCTGGTAGTCATAACGCTCAGCTGTTCTCTGGCGGCGGATGCCGTCATAGCCACCCATAGCGTACACTACGCCTTCCAACACTGCCACGCTCAGGTAGCACCTGGGTGTGTTCATGGGTGACACCTCGCACCACGTTTTCTCCACAGCGTTGAAGCATCGACACGAACTCAAGTAATCTTTCCCGTTGTGGCCTCCGATCACGTAAATGTTGAAACCAATCACTGCCGTGCCATGGAATGCTCGCGGACCGGCCGGGTCGACCGCTTCTACTTGAAACCATCGGTCTGCTCGTGCGTCGTACGTTTCGATTACATTCGTAGGACTGTATCCTCTCCATCCACCAATAACAAATAGGATGTCGTGCGGCATACGTGGACGGACAAAGTCTGGAATAGGGACTTCCCCGTCTTTCCGAGTAATACTTCCCGAATCATGCACATAATTATTAACTTTCGTTATGAAGAGATGACTTTCACAATTCCCAGTCACATAAGAATGGACCATTAATCTTTTAAGAAAGAAATTTCGGTCCATCAGTCCCAGTCTGACTCTCTTCAAGAGCTCCGCGATGTGGCATTTTCTGTTCTCTTTGTCATGATTGATCCACCGAAGGATGCTCTCCCACACAATCTCCTCAGTCCCAACATTCAGTTCGTCTGAACATATCAGAGCTTGCAGTTCCTCTGGCGGCAGTTCCAGAAACTCGTCACTTTGCTGCGAAATTTCTACAAAGTTGCGCATCAAGAAGCGGCGCGCCTCAGCCTCGAAGCTGGAACAGAAGTGGGCACTGACCAAGCGTAAGATGCCAATACAGTTCTCAGTGGCCATCACCCTCCTGAGGAAGTCGCAGCAGAGATCAAGAAGGCCTGGCACAATCAAGTAGTCAGCGGACATCAGCAGCTGACACACGTTCTCGTGGGTGATATTCACGTTCTCCGTATAAGCATAATCCAGTATCAAATTCATGGTCTCTGAGGTCACTCCGGGCAGATAAACATCAGTATTTTCCTGAATACGTAATTGTGTGGTGAATAGGGTCCTGAAATATGCGCTATGCTCCGAAAGAACGACTCTGTGGACTGCAAAGATTCCACCATCTTCCAACCGAATTACCGCGTCACGAAGGAAATCTCGTAAGTCATTCAGTTCCATAGAATGCGAACTAACACAACATGGAAATTACTGGTAAATTGTCTCTCTGTGTTTCCTCGTCCACAGTTTAATGCAACAATTTTGACTTCAGTTCTCACGGGTTCGCTTCTAGACAAAA